ATCCCATGTCACCCTCTGGAAACGTACTGTCAGCCCATACAATCCACCACCGTGACAACATCTGTGCATTGCGCAGCTTCAGACTGGGGCTTCGTGTTTTCGTGCTATGACTGCCACAGGCCACTTGTGTTTGTGGTTTGTGAACGGCCCGACTGTCCCATGTGGAGTCGAGCATCTGCGTGGAGACAGGCAGCTTTTGATGTGCTATGATGCCACTACTCTGTGTCTGGAGGAGCGGTTGCGGGTGGAATCGAGCGTCTACATGGGAAGTGGCGGGACTAGCGGACTAGCGTGTGAAGCAGAAACACTTCAGAAAATGCAGCGCAGTAGACCGTCTCTAGTCTCGACATGTACAAACTACCCACCCTCCAGCCCATAGACGCCGTGACACTTCTAAGACGCAAGCGCGCACACGCCCTTTTGTTCGTGGGATGCGCAAATGCCGACAGCCGATCTTTCCTGGCCTAGCAAGGAACTACAAACTTCCTGGAGGCGATTGGGGCGGCGGTGGGTTCAAAAGAAATCCTGCGGCTAACCTACCTGGATCTAGCACGATCTAGCTCTAAGCTCTGGGCAGAGCCGGAGCCACAAGCTGCCACTATACAAATGCTTCGCACACTTATGGTACATTATGACACGAGACGCTTCAGGTGCTGCGCTTCGCTCCGCACTGTCCAGCATGTTTTGTAGTCTGCCATGTGCAACCCATTGTGGGGGGGCACTTGTTTGACTGCCGCATGATGCGCCATAGGGCGGCAGAAGCTGGGAAGTATTTTAGGCACGCGGCCTATCACAACACCAAGCCAAGGAAGCTAGCTAACGGCGCACAGGACAGTCAGCACAACCACTTGCAAGCACACATGCAGCACTCCCCACTTTTTAACCCTGAGATGGCGGAGATACGACGAGTCTCATGCAACACACATTATGTTAAGGTGACCAGATACATGCATACCTTTTCAATGATCGCAACGCACACTCCGCCAAGCGGCAAGGAATCCTGCTGCTGGCTCATCCCCTTCTCAAGCGCTTATGCAGCCAACCTAGACACATCTAAGCACTAGACAAAACGCAAGCCGCAAGCACATTGTTTTCGCTTTGCGAAGATGCTGGACAGCAGTGTCCTTCAATCCGGGCAGGCGGGCGGGGCTTCGAAATTTGCCCAGCACCCACGGTGGAACAAACTTGGGTGATCGCACAACAAGTGCAATGCACTTGCAAAGCTGAACTCAACTTGATTCAACTTGCATACAAGTTGCGTGTGTAATGTACAAGCTACATGTGCAAGAGAGAGACGGGTCTACTGCGAAACCCGACCCAAGCTGGTACACCCGACACCTCACGAGGCCAAAAAAAGCCACATGGGGTTACACCGGGCACAAACATGCCAACACAGCCCGCGCCACGGGGCAATCACGAAGGGAGGCTGGGAAATTCTGCACGCAGCAAGAGATGAAAGCAGAGGCTTCACACAAGCTCACGTAGCAGACATGTATATATATATATGTATATATATGTCTATGTTCTAAACTCACAGGCAGCCCCGACCCGCCAGCCCACGCTGCCGTGACACAACATGCAGTAACTTCATCAAACTTCCCGGATGCGAATGGGGCGGTGGTGGGCACAGGAGAAATGCAAGCTACTTCTGCCCGGAGGCTATGCACACCTCGCCTCGGAAGCAACTCAAGCAGCTAGAGACCTAAATATGTAGTGGCAACTGTGAAACGAACACCGAGACGACTTACGTGCTCCGCTTCGCTAGCAGTTTAGCATATATATATATATATATATATATATATATATATATATTTAAGTAGTTCATACCCAAGCTTGTGCTGGAAATCAGAAAAATCCTAAAAACGTGCAAAAAAGGCAATCTGCAAAGGCAGACAAAACGTGACAAGAAACGCAAGCTAGGAAAACAACTCAAAAAAAAGGCGACACCAAAGGCACAAAAAAGGCAAAGGCTCAGGTCTTTGGTCCCGGGTACAGGACATAGCTGCCGTGCGTTCATGTCTTCCCACCTACCTCTCGCACTGCTTCTGCTCTCGACTTGTTCCTATTATACAGCAGGATCACAGCCTCAGGATTTGCTTGATCTCGGCGTGGTGGGTGTGAAGTGAGTGTGGAGGCACCTTTCTGGCGCCTTTTTTTTGGGGGCAACCGGTGGAGGCACGTTTTGTGGCGCCTTTTTTTGCGGGCACCCTCTGGGGGCGACCGGAAAAGTGGGTTTTGAGGCACGTTTTCTGGTGCCTTTCTTTCGCCTTCCGCGCACGTTTTTCTGTCGCAGCATTGCGTTCCGGGCACCTTTTTGGTGCCTTTTTGGGGCCTTTTGGTGCCTTTTTGGCGCCTTTGTTTCGCCTTTTTTTGATTTTTTTTGCCTTTTTTTTGCCTTTTTCCTAGGAAAACGCAAAAAAAAGGCGCCAGGCCCCTCCCTGCAGCCCCGCCCGCCCCTGACTCGAAAAAAACGCTCCGGGAAGGCAAAAAAAAGGCAATTTGGAGTCGCGAAAAACCTACCAAACGAGGCAACTTTCAAGGCAACTTTCAACTCCCTCCGACCAGGGAAGGGCCAGGGCAAAGCAGGGCAGGGCAGGGCCAGGGCAGGGGCAGGGCAGGGCAGGGCAGGACAGGGCACGGCAGACCTTGGGGGGCACAGGGCGAAGCTCTCACTACGATCAATCAACACTTGTTATGTCACGCAAGGCCAAAGATCAGCGTAACGAGAACGACCTGTCAG